GAACCGCACCACGTTCCTGCGCACGCACCCGCCGCCGGTGAAGGAGGAGTCCTTCTGGCACCTACAACGCTTTGAGAAGGTATGGACCCATCCCCTGACCAAAGCCAACTTCTCTGGGCCTCTACAAGCACCTGATGGAAATCAGGGACACTCTCTAACCTTGCCCATGTGCCCACATAGATCCTTAGCACACAATGAATGAGGTTCTTAACTCAGAGCTCCCCACGACCCAGACCTTAAATTGGTCACAAATATGTTCAACCATCAGCCCTGGATATTTTTTGCCAGTCATAAGACCTGAAAGAGAGGCAGCAGTTGCCCAGATAACATATTTTATAACTTTTGTGCACTTTCACAAGCTTCCTGAGCTAAGAAGCATCTTTTTATATCTCATTGTTAGTGCAGGGGTGGCCTTTGCTCTACAAGTGCCCTACACAAGCAAGACAGTCACACCTGCATTTTGGGAACGTGCCATTTCATCAGCTCTCACCATAGCTAATTCAAACCACACCAGATGTTTCAAGAAGCTTTTCCACCCCAGAATTAGAGCTTTCCAGAAAGCCTGAACTCCTGATGCCTCTCTAAACTACCTGATTGACAATATCCACCATGAGACAAAGTAAAGGGTCTGGCCAGGTTAGAGACGTCCGTGACACTTCCTTTAATTGATCCAAATAAGAGCCAAGGTGAAGATTTCTTGTTCTAGTGATGGGATCTAAACATCTCCCTGAATTAATCTGTGCAACCTGCTGTACCCTGGGGTACTTGTTAGAATTCCATTAACTTTGTTTGTGGTATAAATTATATGAAAACTTACAGGGAAGAGCTAGGGGAGGTTTTAGGAGAGCAGGGGAAAGAGCTGGACCAGTAGAATGGAAAGGAGACACCAGAAAGTGAAAGCACTGAAACCTGCAGGGAGTTTACATGGCCAAAATCATATTTGGCATTGATAGATATCACTGCAAAGAACTCTCAGCTCTCTGTCCTGGCCCTTCTTCTGGTGGGGTTATTTTTTTTGCCACGCTGTTGATTTCTAACCACAGTTTAAAACAGCGAAGGAGCCCTGTGATTTCCTGAAGGTAATTTACTTGTACAAGTTGGAGAGTTTTGCCCAAGAAATGTGCTTTGCACCACCTTGATGTATTCCTCTCCCATCCTGTCTAAGAGTGCCCGATTAGCATATGTCAGTAATCATTTATCCCCACTGCCTGTCAGCTCGGAGCTGCTGCTGCGGCGGCGGCGGCGAGAGAACATGACCGATCGCTGTTAAACAGATTGTGAGAGTCACACGAGATCCTGGGGCAAGCCTCCTCTTTAGAGCTCCTCTCACCCCAGACCTTTCCATCACCGTTCATTTTTCAGCCTGGGTTTTGCTTTGTGCTTTCCCTTTTGTTTCATCCGTGGATGTGGTTGGGTTCCCGCCCCAGCCACAGCTCTCAAAACCTTCAAATCTTTCCTTCTTTCTTCTCTTTCTTCTTCTCCCTTTCCCTTCCTTCTCAGAAGCAGCATCCAGGGAGGAGGGACAGCTCATTTTGCACAGCCTTTGCAGATTTTCCACACTCCTCCTTTCTCATTGCATTATCCTGGGACAATTGCCTTTCCCCAGCTGCAGATCTAACAGGCACAGCCCACATTAGAACTTGGATCAAGGAATTTGTTACTCACTTGACCTTCAGTGCATGGTTTCCTCCATGGCAAAATAACTCCTCTTGAACACCCATAAATGTTTACCCATTTAAAAGCAGTAACAGCCTGAAAGAAGTTAAGGGTTCCCAAAGATATTTGGTGGTCTCCAAACTGTTTTTTAACTACTCTTCTGAAGCTGTGCTCTACAGAGATGGTGGAATGGTTTTGAAAGCCAGACTGACCTAACCCAGGGACTCCAGGAGTCAATGTCAGTCTCTCTTTTACTGAGGTGACAAATGACCAAAATACTGCCTCTAATCCAATAGCATTTTCATCCTACTGTGCAAAAAGAATATTAAAGGCAACTACGAAAATATCACTTCACAGAATGCTTGTTAGCAGACTCCATCTGCATATTCCTACCAGCCTTTGGTGGCTCTGACCAGTACAGAAGATGCTCATGATTTGGGAAATACTCCAGACCCTGGGCAAGAATATTCAGATTCTCCATTGCCTGACCACAGCCTCACTTTAAACTTTATTTCCATGTGATCCAAGGTAGGTGTGAGGTGAGGAGTGTGATATTCTCAAGCCACACATCCTTCTGGTCAGTCAGTCACCTCATCATCTGGAATAACACCTTTCAGTCTAGCCTGCCCTGAGTCTGAGGGGAGCAACACCCCTGAAATAGTTATAATCCAAAACAGGGACAGGAGGAAGATGAGATTTTGTTCCTTTAGGCCCATAAAAATCATCAAGAAGGATTTTTTTTTTTTTTATTCCCACTGTGGCCCCTTACAGAGAGCTGCAGAAACTGGGCATGGATATCTCTGCTGGCTCTTAAACGGGGCTTTCCATTCAGTCCCTTACACCATGAAAGCTTGCCCAAGAATTGGAAGAGAAGAAAACAAAGGAGATTTTTCCTCCCCACTAATTGCATCTGCTTGCTCTCTGCATTGCCAGAGCTGCATGATATTACATAGTCATTCAGTCAGTAAAGTATGGACAAATTGACTATATTTTCATTTGGATTTAAGTTTCAGCCCCACTGCTTTAGAATAATGGCCCACACTGTTAAGCTAACTGGGTGATTTACAGGCTCTCCCACACCGGGTGCTCTGCTCAGTCACTCTGCAGGACTGACCTGGCCCCTGGTCTCCTGGGCCCCCCAGCTCACCAAGACAAGCAGGTCACAGTCCTGTCCTGATGGGCAGTTCATTAGGGAAAGTTGCTGCATTGAAGTGTTTTTTTGTTTATTTTTCTTTAACTAAACCAAGCAGATGTTAACTCCTTACTCACCTCAGCAAGATGCTTCTACTGCCTTCCTCTTCCTCAGCCACCCCCCAAAGCAAACAACTTCTGCCTTGCTTTGCCTGCAGCGACACCATTCCAGGGCTCACGTTCTGCCAGAATGGCTGGGACTTGCACCAAAATTTAATTTATTTGTAGATGTGGGATTACATTCCCTGGAGACTGTACTCTCAGGCACCCAGCATGGACATAAATTATAGAATCATGGAATGGTTTGGGTTGGAAAAGGACCTTGAAAATCATCTTGTTCCAACCCCCCTGCCATGAGCAGGGACATCTTCCACTGGACCAGGTTGCTCAGAGCTCCATCCAGCCTTGCCTGGACCACTTCCAGGGATGGGGCATCCACAACTTCTATGGGCATCCTGTTTCAATGCCTCACCACCCTCACAGGGAAAAAAAAAAATCTAATATCTAATCTACACCTACTCTCTTTCAATTTAACCCATTCTTCTTGTCCTATCACTCCAGGTTCTTATAGTCTTGTCCCACCTTTCCTGTAAGTTCCCTTCAGGTCACCCCAAAGTCTTCTCTGTTCTAGCCAGAACAATCCCAATTCTCTCAGCATCCAGTCCCCCACATTCAGTGGATGTCCTGGTCCTGTGTCAATCCTCGCCTGCTGGCTGAGGCAGAATTGTGTCAGCCAAACTCTGGAAAGAACATTGCTGCCCAAATGCAGGATCTCCACCTGTGCCAGGCTGGGGTGAGGCTCCAGCCACCTCCATCTGAACATCTGATAGTCACTATCCAAACCAGTAAGTCAATGCTGGCCATCCCCAATGTATTTCCAGAGCTCTATCAAGTCAAGAAGGATTCAGGCAGCAACAAAGCAGCAACACAGGACAGAATTCACCAACGTGTCAAAACAGCTCCGTGCACCTCCTGTCACCGACACACACCAGGGTTCTTCCTTTGCTCATTAGAGAATCCCAGCTCACAGAGACACTCGGGTGGCTTGTTTACTTGACCAAGCAAGGGGAAGGAAAGAAAATGCAGCAACTTTGGACAAGACTTTTGTCACCGCGCGCTGCCTCCCCGAGCAGATGAAACGCGCGGCGCGCGATGCGCGATATGAATAAGCGATAAGCAATTGACGAGCAAGTGTTCGGGTACCTTGGCAAAAGACTTAATTTGCAACCTGGCACAAAATCAAAGGCTCTGTCAACGGCTGAGCGGCTCTCCTGCGTATGCCTTGCATTACCTGGGAAAGCTCTGTCAGGTAAATTTCCACTGAAAGTAATTAGAGGAATCCCCACTGTATAAACTTTGCAGCAAAAAAATTCTGGGCTCCGGAATTTGATTCTCACCAGGGATCCGATATCTGCTCACAGCCTGATCCTTCGTCAGAATTAACAGCTGAGGTTTAACACGTACACACAAAAATGTTCCGCATTTTTTTTTAATGCCTTACCTCTATTTTTGTCTATAGAGCTGAACTGACAAGCACAGCTCATGTAATCTTGCAGCTGTTGTCTTGTCAGAAAAGCCACAGATTCTGCTTAAATAACCTGGGCTTGATACACACAGCACACAGGGCTGGCTGTTCAGGTGCAGCATTGGTTCTCTGGGGTTTTAGGGCAGAAAAACTTCTGGGACTTGGAGTGCTATAAAACTCCTCTCCTGGGGCCTAAACAGTGCTTAAATAATAAAGCAATGAGTTCAAGAGCTTCCTGGCACCACACTACCAGATCAATCCTCCCTTCAGCTGGGACTTTGGCTGACCAAAAAGAATTAAAATCAGTGTCAGCTGATGGTTGTTCAATGGCTCAAGTGACACGAGCTGGTGGCTCCCAGCCCTGCAGTAACAATCCAAAGCAGCATCACTGGCACAATGCAAAGAGAGCACAACACCCTGCAGGGCCCCAAACAGGCAGCACAACACCCTGCAGGGCCCCAAACAGGCAGCACAGACCCAGCTGCCCTGGGTGTGATCCCTGCACGTCTCCTCTGGGGCACTGCAGCCATGTCACCTCCCACCCACTGCACGGCTAACTGCAGGCTCTGGGCCCTTGTCACCAGCACTACATTTCCCTGCAGATTCTGGAGGTTTTCCTTGTTTTGCCTCCACAGTCAAAGATTCCAGCAATACAATTGCTCAAATCACAGCAAAGCATTTTCATGATCCAGGTTTTCCCACTAACCCTTGTGCCCTGGACACTCAACCTCTCATCCCACCCAATGCTGCCTCTGTCACAGAATATTTTGGCTTGGAAGGAGCCTTTAAGAGCCATCTAGTCCAGTTCCCCTGCAGTGAACAGGGTCATCCTCAAACAGATTGTGTTTCTCAGAGCCCCATCCAACCTGACCTTGAATGTTTTCACAGACGGAGCATCCACCATCTCTCTGGGCAACACATCCAAGTATTTCAACATCCTCATTGTAAAAAACTTTTATATCTTATCTCAATTGACCCTCACTTTGTAAAAACATTACTTGCCACGCTCAGCACTTCCCTCAGACACATCTCCACGCTCTGGACATCTCCAGGTTAACACAGGAAAACAGCAGCACCCTCCTGTGCAGATGTACAGCCTAGATCACCTCCAGGGCAGGCTCCACCTACAGCCAAGCCCCAGTAGCCAAAGGCAGCACAAGGAACAGTTGGCAACCAATTCCCATTGCTCTCCTGGAGAGTCTCACCCATGAAGGAAGAGATTTCGGGTGCTCACAGCTTGTGGCAGGGTGAAGCCACACATGCTGTGTTGGGTTATGAGTGAGCAGCTGCCACTGCTGCCAGTGCACAGCTCCATGGAAATGCTTTTAGAATGGGTTTGGGATTTCATTCATGGCACTGTTCTGACTTCTGCGGAAATGCTATTTATCAAGATAACTTTAAATAAAACTTTTGCCCGGCATGAAAAGGGTCAGGATTCAGACATCAAGCACATGAGGTCAGTGTGAAAGCTGCCAGCTCTCGTCTGACCCTGAAACATCTGCCAGGGAGGTGGGGGGCACACCCCAGGTTACAGCTCCAGTGCATTAATTCTTCTTCCTCATGCTGTTGTCCAGACCAAATGACCAGTGAACTCCAGCAAATATCTGTGGCATTATTTTCAGAAAGGAAAAAAAACAACAAAAACCAAAAAACTAACCCAAATCTCCGTGGAACATTAAATACAGCAGCCCAAAATTGCCAAGCACTGTTTAAAACCTCCCTGGGCTTGAAGCAAATAAAGATCATTTAGCCCAGGCTCCCTTGTCCTGCATTTCCCTCTGTTCTTAGAAAGGTGGAGAGAGAAAAATCAACCCCATTCGTTAAGCCAGTTAAGCACGCTCCTGGCAGGAAAAGCCACATTATTTGTAACCCTAATAATCCAACACTCACCTCTGAGCACAGCTCATCTTGGACAGAATAACGTCTGTTTTAAAAGTACCTGCCTCTCTCTAACTTGTCATGGCATTTGTTGACAACCCTATTGAAAGCCGCTCTCGATGCGGCTGTGAAGGATCTTTCAGCACCTCTTTCTCTTTCCTAGACAGTTTTTGAAAGGGAGGGGAGAAAAAGAAAAAAGCCATCAATACAGGGGGAAAAAGGCATCAGCAGCCAACATCGGCTGATGAAGCGCCTCACCTGGGCCCCCAGCACACCGCCTCCAATTAAATCAAAATGGTTTGTTTTTAATGGTCTTTTACACTGACAAGTGGGCTATCATTCCAGGCCTAGAGAGCTGTCAGGGAGCCGAGGCAAATCCTCCGTTGATAATGCCCAATGCTTCCAATTAGGAACCGAGGCCGCTCCTGGCGCACTAACGATTCCCCAGCCTCCCCCAAGACCCCTTCGGCGTTGGCTTCTTCGTCTTCGCTCTTCCTCCGCCGCAAATTACTGACACAAAACGGAGGCGCCCCGGTGCCTCCTCACCACGCCGGGCCCCGGCCCTGTTGGATTTAATGAGGCGATGGAAGTTTTTGCGGATCTTCCGCTAAATTCTTTTCTTGTTTGACAGCTGCTTGAGTGTTGACCTTATAAAAGATTTAGTGTTTCTCATTATTTTCTGTCAAGCTTTACAAGCGGTGGCTTCGCGGAAAATCATTTGCATCTCGATGCACGGGGTGGGTTTTTATTTTTTTTTAATATTTTTTATTTTGTCTGTACGGGGATGCTCGGCACGCTGAGCGTCAGTGTGTGCACCCTACCCCTCTCTGTATTGTTTGTTTTCCTCCCTCCCTTCCCTGAAAAAATCCACTGTTTTGTGTCATTTTGGAGGAAAAAAAAAAAAAAAAAAATAAGCGGCAGGATTTGTTAGACTCTTGTAAATGAAGGAGGGTTTGGGAAAGAAAAAAAAAAAGAAAATAATAGAGATTGGTTTCCTGTAAAGTGAGCACAGGAAAGTGTTTTGTCACCCGCTAAAAGGATTCGATCAGACAGATGATGGAGGAACCAGGCCGAGTCCCGGTGCAGCTTTGTTGTTAAAGTGAAAAATGGTGCAAGGCTGGGGAGCTGCCTGGGAGCAGAGCCAGGCAGGTGCTGGGAGAGGGACAGGGACAGCCACGGCTCCATGGATCCTTCCAGGCCACGAGGAGAGCCTGGTGCTGTTCATTACCTGCTTCGGGCCTTTCCATGGGTTCTCTCTCAAGTCACCACAAACCACTAAGTGCAGCTCTAAGCTAAAGCTCCCCCCCATAAGCTGAGCTTATTTTGCACCCAAGGGTGCTCACAGTGCCCAGCAGCTACAGCACCCACAAAACCCTGCTCAGTCTCTGGGGTTTGCTGCCATCAGGGGAGCTCTGACTTCCCTGCACCAGCTTGGCCTTTCTGCATCTCACATGCAATTTATCAGCCCTCAATTAACACCCCTGCCTTAATGTACCCTCCGATTTAACACATTATTATAACTGTGAAACTCTAAAGATAACACCCCCCAAATACATATTGAATTTTTTTTTACGAGTTATTATTTTTCTTGCCCCTCTAATTCTGTGAGGCAAACACTGACATCACAATGTCCCAGCTGCAAGGGTCCTGCAGGTTTTCATTTATCAATAATAAATGAAATGAACAGCAGCAAACATTGCTCCTCAGCAGCAGCTGGAGCCCATGGCAACTCCATCATCCTGCAAGGAAAACCTTTCAGCTTTTTCCTACAAACCATATTCCTGTCCTGCTGCAGCCAGTGCTCCAAACAAAATCCTGGCATTAACAACCCATAACTGCAGCAGAGTAATGGCAAAGATCATCAGCTGTCTCTAGAGGAAGTACCTTTGGGTTCATCATTTAAAATACGAATTAGAAGAATCAGAGATGAGGATTCATCACTGGCATTGACTGCTCAACACCAGTCTCTGTCATAAAAAGACCTTTGACCCAAGGACACCCTTATCTGGGCTCTAATGACTGGGAGGGTTTCTCATTTTTTAAAACAGCACTTGCCCCTGTCCTACACCTGGTGCTCCCCACTCACTCATGCTGAGGGCAGGAGCTGGCATCCCTCACAACTTCCTCAAGGCTCTGCTCACTTTAATTACTGCCAGTTGTGGCTCAGTGGGACATTTCTCACCCAGGAGCTTTGTACCAAGATTGGAGTGAATAAACTGCTCTTTCCTCTCCCATGGCATCACCCCATCCCAGGCAGAAGCATCCCTGTGCCCAGTTCCCAGCCCTGGTGAGTGAGGGAGCATGACAGGAAGGCAGAGGAACATTCAAGAGAAGCAGCTCAGCTGTCCTTACCTGCAAGCACTGGGTTTTTCTAACAATTCCAGCTGCAATGGAAAAACTGCTGCATCTTTAATGGCAGGTTGGAGTTGGAACAACCAAGAATTGTCCCTGCCAGCTCTCTGGGGTTACCCACCTCCTGCAGCAGCCCCTGGTTCTGCCTTCCCCACCTCTCCCTCCCCAGGAGGGGTTATCTCACTGCTGCTATTTGTGAGAAAGCAAAAACCTCCAGAAACAGCTGTCTGAAGTTAGGCACTCAAATGCATATTTAAGTACCTGAACGCCTTCCTCCAGAGAGGGGGAATAGCTAAATACGCTTTGTTTGTCTTGATTAATGAGATCACTAGCAAGCTTTTCAGGGCAAAGACTGCTCTGTATTTTTACATATGCAAAACCTGACATCCAGCCAGCCTGAGCAGGGTGGATGGGGGAAGTGGGAGGCAGATGTATGGCACAGGGAATTGTGCTGGGGCAGGCAGAGCCCGTGGCCCCCCATGGAAAACACTCCAGCCCCAGTCACTGCATCTCCCGTGCAGGTTTGCCGTGTTTCTACCCCCAGTTACTTCCCTTTTGTTTATTCTCATGGGTATTTTTTCACCCTGTCCTTGCTCAAAGGTGATTCCTGGGGAGTTGCTGCTGCTTCTGTGTTTTTAGGACAGGTGATATAAGAGCTCCTGAGCCCACCAGGGAGCTCTGAGCCCATCCTGACCCCTCAGTGAAGCACCCAAGTCCAGTATTGTAGAAAACAACTCATATTTATTTCAGGGCCCACCATAGAGCATGGCAGCTTTTGAAAATGTCAGACAACAAACACACCATAAAAAAAACTACAGGGTCTTGATGCTAGAGCAGGATAAGAATCTCCTGAAGTCAATCAGAAAGCTACCACTCATTTTTAGCAGGTTAAGTGTTTAACTTCAGCCAGAGACATCTCCCAGTCAGGCAGAAACCCTTGTGCAATCTGCAGTCTCCTCCCTGTCTGTGCTTCAACCTATTTTCTGTGGCTGGCTGCTGGCTGTAACCAATCCTCTCTCTCTGCTCCTTTCCTCGTAGGTTGAGCCTCATCTCAGGACTTTTCCAGACCCTGAATCCCGGAAAAAGGCTCTCAGTGCCTCGCGTTGAGGAGTCCTGTGAGCTGTCCCCTTCCCCAGAGAGCCCCCACAGCAAGGATGGTGCTGGGCACAGCCCTGGGGTTCCACATGCAACAGACTTTCTCTCAGGTTTTACAGAGTTGTGCTAACGCAGATATAGCCAAATAAATCACAAATATAAGAGGAACAATTCTGTCTCAGCCTGTTCACTGCTTTGTGTCAGCTGCACCACACAGCCTGCCCAGCACAAGGCTCGTGATGCTCAGGAACAGGGCAGTGCTCACACCAGCACAGCCCCACAGGGAGGCAGGACAGGCTCCTTCCCTGCTGCTTCTGGACAAATAGATTGGATGCAGCCATATCCTAGCTGATATCAAATCTGTAATGTCTCATCAGGCCTCATTTCTTTGCCAAAAAAAGCTTCTCATCAGTGCCTGATTCAGCAAAGGCATTGCCTGTGTGAAGGAATTCAAACACCTGCTTTGAGTGCTCTGCCAAGCTGGGGCCTCAGCACAGGCAGTGCCTCTGCTTTAAGGTGGCTCCAGCCAGCCCCACGCTCATCTTCCAGCAGCTGCTGCTGCCTGGAGCCCCTCAGGCTGAGCCTCTTCAAGCACTCACTGAACAACTCAAAGTCTACAAACACCAACCCAGCATCGTCACAGCTCCCAAACCCACAGGCTCAGTCAGGAACCAACACATTTGGAATCCATCCGCTCCCAACTGAGCATTTCTCTTCAAGGAACACTGGGTTAAAAGTGCCATTATTTAAACTGTGGATGTCCATTATTACTACAGGAATAATTGATATCTCTTACACAGTCTGCTTCTCACATCTACCATTACAGCTCAGAGTTTACCAGCATTTCAAGCAAAATTATCACCTAGTTTTCATATTCATGCTCCCATTAGCACTTGGAGAGCTCAGATGTGGTCACCCCAGAGCTCTGTGAGGTGCCATCTGCTGTGCTGGGCAGCCCCAACTGCATCCTGAGCTCAGGTGGATGTGCCAGCATGATTTTGCCCCCCACACCTTGGCACTGGGATTATCCCAGTCCTACAGAAAGCCACCAGCAGCCAAAGGCCATGAAAAACCCATGCTGAGCTCAGGGCTCATTGCCCCTCAGATTTCCAGCTAAACTTTTAACCCCAAACCTCAAAGAGAAGAGCTCTTTATAACATTACACTGCATTGCTCAAGATGAAATAACAAAGTAAACTGCAAGGGCAGCTTTTCTTACCCCTCAGGACAATGAAGGCTCCCCAGAAGCTGCTCCAACATTTCCCACACCCCCTCTTTAGGGCAGCTTCTTCTTCAGCCTGCCCCTTTATAAGGAAGGAGCTGTAACAAACTCCACCCTGCCCAGACCTGAGCTGAGGGAGGAACAAAATCACCTGCTCCACACCGGGAAAACCCTGGTAGGTGGTTGCCTCTTATTAGTACAGGCCTCTAAATAAAACCCATCTAAAATAATGGAGATAACAGCAGGGCTTGCCAAGCTGGAAGAGGTGGATTACAACCAGAAACCTCTCCCACCTCCCCAGGGAGGGAGGAAGCTGGGCCTTAAATGACTTGTCTTGCTAAAAATGACACTGTTTATGAGAGTGTGAGAAACCCAGGCATGATGTTTGTCCTTCTGCCTGCTGGGAGCCACATCCAGCTCTCAGCCCAGCCACAGCATCTGTGTCCTGCAGCAGCCACGGAGGTGCCCGGGGTGTGCTCAGGGATGGAGGCACCACCAGAGAACCCTGCTGGGCTGGCACAGAGCGCTGCGAACCAAACCCCTGTGGAGCTGCTGGTTGGGACAGGCGCAGGAAACCAGCAGAGAGACCAGAAACCCCAAAGCCATGCGAGAAATGAAGTGCGTTCAGGAGACACCTCTCAGCGCAGCTCAGAGCCGACAGACCCGCGCCCGAAATGCTGCGCAAGGTGGTGCCCCAAACGTGCCCGGTGCGGCAGCACGGAGGGGCAGCGTGGGACAGCCCTGTCCCTGTCCCACCCGTGGGAGCCGAGCGCCAGCGTGTCCCCCTGCTCCGTGCGGGGTCCCGGCCCCCGCGCCGCCCCCGCTCCTTGTCCTGCAGTGACACCCACCGGTAACGGGCTCCTGCGGCTGCTGCAGCGTCCCCGCCCGCCTGGTGTCCCCTCC